TGAAACATCCTAGTCACAAGTATTTACCTCAAGGATGAATTCCACAGTAATCCACCGATGTGTCACAACTGAGACTGCTTCATGGAGGTATGTATGTCAACTTAACCAGTTTGACCGCCATGGCTATGCCTTCAATGGTAGCCGTTCGGATGTTTCATTCAAGTTTTTCTATTAAGACCTGATTCAATCTGTTGTTCTCCTTAATGACCATGCTGTGTTGACGGTCAGGCGTCACCCCTGATGCTGTAGCTTACTCCTAACTGATGAAGTTTACCCTGGGGAATCAGCTCAAGTGGGATAAAAACAACGAAATTGTGTTATTTATCGAGTTGCCTCCCCCAATGCTTCTTACACCATTTCCGGGGAAAGCCGTAATCACATGCTATAAACATGAGTGTAAAATTGTATTCGTCTGCCTAAACTATCTCTTCCCAGACGTTTCTGAACAAATTGAAAATTACCCCCGAATAAACGGTTTGTAACTTTTGAACTCGCGAAACCTCATTAGACGCACAATCCTTGGCTGCTAAAAATAGTTACCTACTTCTGTCAGATTATCCTCTTTTCATGTAAACAAGAACTCCTTACAAAGAGGAATCTTTTGGTTTCTGGGTAAATCTACATATGTTGAGATCAGAATTTATATATTACGGTAACCAGACAGTTGCTTTAAGGGTTATTTACACTGTATCCAAGAGGAGACCTCTTGGTTAACCACTAGGCTCTTATCTACTCCTGGACTGTTTTTCTTCAGGCTATTTAGTCTTATCCTCTTTGTCATAGATACTTGGATTTTCGAATATTCCGGTTACTGTTTAAGTGTACACGAAGGTCAGCCTACCAGTTATTGAACTTCACCTACTTCTATGTCACAAATGTTTTCTGACATGGAGATCAGTGCTTGATATACACATATTGTTGAACCAAGCTCTTATAGTCATGTTCAACTTTTCTCCAAATAGGTGCTCCCGAGAATTCTTCACTCTATCACGTGATGTAAGGATGCATTCCAGCAGTATATTATCAGTTCAATCTCTGGTAGATTATCGATATCCCACATGAGTTGCGTTTGTTGGTCAATCGAATAGACCCAGTATACCTTGAGACAACTCTTGTACGAGTAAGTTGGGAGCAACCTGTCATACATGATGAACTTTCCAGGCTTTGTTGAGCTCCATGGGTACAATTGAATCAGTATACCGACTTTTTGACTCGTTTGTTGAATCGAAGCAACTGTCCTCTAGGGCAAATCCTAGTGAGGTAGGTTGATGTGAACATGAGGGAAGTGATTTTCTTACCTCTCGTCTTAACAAAAGCCTCTCTTCAGTTTATATCAACACTCTGCAGAAATACATGGGTAAGTCCGAATAACCTTTGAACCTTAGTAAAACAGTCTGTTACCTCCGTACCTACTGTACGGATTGGACTCGTCCAAGCAAAATTTGATCGCCAAAAATATCGAATCCAAGTCGTCAGATTTGCAAATGTTGACTGGGTCAGATCACATGGTAAGTCAAACAAAGTGCTAGGATGAAAACAAGCTGAAACTATTGGTTTTAGCCTGGTCATGGTTATATGTTATCTGTATGCATTTCACCGACTTCGATAAGCTTGATTGTACTGTAAGCTGTGCCACCCGATCGATTTCCTTCGTTGTACCTCGTTGTACCACCACTAATGAAGGGTCAATTGCATTTCTCAAGGAGTAAAGTGTTCCCGGCAATTGCAGATAAGATTTTGTCAGAGGATAGGGTGTTCCGTGACTGTGAGATACGAAGCAAGAAGAACTAGGGTGTATAGTCTAGGTGCCTATGCTTGTGTACACTCTTTAGTGTGTGACCACAAAGGGTTTTGTGGTTGGTAGGTCAACTTTTCGAGGGAGTGGTCTTGCGAAGTGTCTCTGCGATCTCTTATGTCAGAGATTTGGAACCTGACCCACATAATCGGCATGTGGTCTTATGTGTACACCAACAAATTCTCTTAGAGCCTCTGCTTTCAGTAGCCAATTGGATTGACAATCAAGACCAAGGGGTTTGTTAATGTTGGTCGCGGTTTTTCGGAAGCTGGCCGTTTTCCCGAATCTCTGCTCAATGAGAATCCCGAAATCTATTCCGCAACTAGAAGTGTGTAACGCCTGAGATCCTAGGTTCAATGTTTGAATAACTAGGGGGAGAAATACTGACTGAAAGATAGGCGTAGTTAATCAGGTGGCTGTTGATCTCTTCGCCGAGCTTGTCAATTGACTTGCAAACGTTCCATCTTCATAGAGAAAGACATCGTCAGTGCGTAGTTCTCTGCCTGCAGGCGTTGACATAGCGTTTGAAGGTTATCTGTTAACGTGGTTGGCTAATTGGGAGATGATGTTTTTCTGAATTTATTGATCTGCTTTTGATCTTTTTGCGTTGTGGTCTGTGTTCCTTTAAATCGACTGGTTATCCCAATAACTCCTATTTTTGGTAGTTTGTTTCTTTGCCTTGATAACCTCACCTCAGTTTGTACAGCATTGTGACCTGACCTGCTACGGACTGATTGATGGGTTACACCGCCATATTTTTTTTAAAATTGTAACGGCTGGTATCCCTGCGTTCACCGGTTAATGTAAGAATGGCGAAAAACGACACATAGGACAAATGAAAGGGAAGAGCTTCGCTGGAAGACCTGAACACAAGCTTGCTCCTAAAAGATAATCAGTTGCATCTCATATCCGTCCACCGAGATCAGGAAGGGCGCAGATTCGACTGGAGCAGCTTTTGCATACTGGCTCAATCAAGAAAGTAGAGAGGACTTGAAGTCATCGAAGTCTGGTACTTTGTTGAAGGAACCATCGAAGCGCCTATCGAAATTGACCCCATTTATCAATCACCAAGAGCAAGGAACACCAGAATTATTCCAATTAGGCTGCTTATTTGACCCTTGTGGATATGCGAAAGGTCTTGGTTGCGGAAGCAGAAGGAAATGTCTCTATACGCTTATCTCTTTATTTCTTTTCCTCTCTAGAAAATCAGATGCTCGCTTGTCCTAGACCATGAAGTATGTGTATATCTGTTGCAGAAGCCTGGCTCGTAAACCGCCTACCGAGAATCCGGGCGACATGATCACTGCAACATAACATATCCTAGTATTCAACTGTTATTCATCAGCAAAAATGAAATCCAGATTAAATGCCGTACATCATACGCCATGCAAGTGCAACTGAACAACTCTTTCCTCTGTGATGACCTTCATTTGGGCGATTAATTAATTTTTTCTGCGAATAAACCATGAATGACGATTGTTTGGCGTTAGGTTGTTAGTGTCATCACGTTAGTGATGCTGTCCTTGATGGTGCTAGCGTTCTTTATGTGAAATGGTTTCGTTCTGTTGAACACGCCATTTGGAGTAGCGGACCAGGTTGAAATCTGAAAAATTAACAAACTACTTCCAAACACACATATGTATCCATCTGTGTCCTGGTCAAGAAACATAGACCACTCAATTATAGCGTAACTACATACAGGAACAGTGGTAAGCAACACGATTTGAGTAAGACTCAGTCAATGAGACACGCGCATCTGATTGTAAACAAACGCTTAATTTTGCTACACATCAACTGCTCTTGTTTACCAGTTTTTAGTTCAGCCAACAAACACCTCGTTTCTTACACCATTTCAACTTAGGTGATCAGAGGTTACGACCAACCATCTGGGATAGTTTGCGAAAGGACCAATTTCATACAACAGCCCAATAATGCGTGTAAGTTTTACTACTATACTGTTTATGAACACCGTACTATAACGTGGACAACTCTACCGATTTTTTTACATTTCAGCCCATCTAACGGACCGTAAATTGCGATCTGAAAAGTAAGATGCTTTTGTGTCTCCAAACAATCCGTGCTCAGGAAACTCTGTCAAATCTATTCAAAGCTTCTCGATATACTGTGGAAGGTAACTGAAGCTTTCAATGATGCCGATTCAGATATTGATCAGGTTAGTCGAACAATTCTCTGAAATGACCCACCCATAAACCACTCGAAACAGCATATTATTATCTTACAAAAAGCACACAGGTCCAATAAAGTTCGTTTTCTTCATTTTAGACAGTGTCCTGGGCACAGAATGAATTAAAGGGTCAGTTACAATCTGAATCGTTTAGCAGTTTGGAGATAAAGTAAGTATCGACGACTACCACAACATGTTGGGTTCCAAGGCAAGTTGAAACTCGTGGTCGATTTTCAGTCAAGCACTTCATTGTTTTGTCGTGTGCAATCTATTTTCAAACCACACTGCCAAGAACACTCTGAAAACAGCACAGATTGAATTATTATGTCGATTCTTCATTACAGCTCACCACTTTTAGCCGAGCAACGTTGAATGGAAAGTGCAAATGATAAAAGAAAGTGTCACTATGTCAAGATTTGTTACTGGTTTCGCAAATTATACTACTAGAGTTGTTGTGATTACCATCGTCTCTCAGTAAACGCTGAACAACTTTAGTCGGTCGAGAGCCGATCCATTTGAGCTGTTTGCTTTCATGGGAATCGTCCGCCGCAACTCGGTAACCGCCACTTACCGTCAGGCAGGATGTGAAAAACGTCGACAGATGTCATTTCAGCTGTAATCATCAGCCCGATGTGCTTTGTTAACATCCATAACCAATTTGCAACCATTTGACGCGATTGTCCTCACATTAAACTTTTTTGGGACAGTGTCCTCTAAAACTGGCTGATTTCATGAACGACAGGCCTTCGAAGTTCTGTGACCCCAGTGTGTTGGTGTTTCTCAGTTTATCCTTGCTCAGCACGGTTCGTCATTGGAACATTCTGTACGCAAACCTTGATAGGCACATCCGAAATCCTTTTTAAACATCAGAACTGACAAAGCTTAGAAATAAGGGCTCAGTTTTGCTCGTTTGATTGTTTTTCATATACAACAAGTTGCAGCAACATCTGCATTTTATTGTCTTTCCGCCCTTCAGGTTAACATATCCATGGAAAAACCCAACGGATGCAGTAACCCTAGCTGTACTCAGTGGGGCCGTCTATGATACTGAAGACATAGATGGATCTAGCATTGGGAGTGTTGTGGCAGCGGATACTCTACTCATATCTACACTACGTCTAAATGATAGTAAGTAAATTTGAAGAGTTTTTGTTGGTAAGCCTGTTTGCATTTTTTTTTAACTTTTAGCTCAACATCAAAAGGTGTGCTCTTC